AGAGAGAGAGAGAGAGAGAGAGAGAGAGAGAGAGAGAGAGGGGGGGGACACAGCGAGAGAAAGAGAGAAAGAGTCTCTCTCTGTCTCTCTTTCTCTTTCTCTATCTCTCTCTGTCTCTTGATCTCGCTTCTTCATCTCTCTCTCCCCTCCGTAACATCTATCTATCTATCTATCTATCTATCAAACATACTCACTTTGGCTCAGGCAGAATGGACACCACCTTATCTGGATCCATCATCCCTGCATTCTGACCCGGAGGTGACGTCAGAATGTGCAGTTGGGAGGAAATGACGTAGTCGGTGGAAGCAAATACTTCGATGAATGGCCCGATAGCCACGGCCACTTTGGGACTTTTGAAGTTTTGTCTTGCTGAAAAATAGTTCTTTTCTTTAGATTTTTTATTCTTTTGGTTTGTTTTTAGTATTAAAAAAAAAATTTAAAAAACCATTTAAAAACGCATGAACATAAATAATAAAGGCCATTTAGTGCAGAGAAAGAGTATGCCTAACACATACTGAAATAAGAAAGGAATGGAAAGCAACTGGATCTTTATTTCTTTTTTCTTTGTTCCAATTTTGTTTTTTAGTTACAGCACTTGCAACACAATTGAGTCACGTAAGTTCCAAAGATTAGAAGTGTTAATAGAGAATAACATACGAACAAAAAGGAGGAGACGAGACAAACACGATAGATGTTTGATGAGAAAGAAGAAACAAACCACAACAGAGCCCTTGCCAGACACCAATGAAATGGGATCTACCAGTGACTCAACTTGTCAGAGGAAGAGACACTTAAATAAATCAAACCACTATGGCACATAGACTTGATTTATGATATTCTCGAGCGTGTACAGCCGTGACCGCCGTTCTTTGCTTTCTATAAAAACTTCTCTCCGAAGCGCGCGATCCATGGCGTCTAAAAGAGGGCTAAACACCAGCATCACCAAAGTGTAAGTGCAGGTAACCTTTCTTCATTTGACCTTCATTTGGTTCATTTTGAGTCAAACTGCGCGCTCCAGGGTGGACCGGAATTACAACAGAGTGCACAGTCTAAGTTTTAATAATACAAAGCTAAGTACGAGTTGTATGACGCACAAAGATAGAATTTTGACTTTGGGAGCCAGTACAAGTAAATCTCTACTCTCTACATTCTTAAAATGTTTTTAAAGAAAAAAAAAAAATAAACATACTTCACGCATGGCGGATCGGAAACCCAATTAATACGACCCCACAGATAATGGATACACCCGACATGTGAACTAGGACAAGTGGTACTACATACAAGTACAGGGTATGTATCGTATAACTGAAATATTCTCTTTTTTCCCACTCTTTTTCTCTCTCCCTCACTTTGCCATCCCTCTACCCTCTTTCTCGCTGTTACCAGTCTTCCCTTTAATCCATTCTTAAAGCCCCCCC